GAGAGTGCTTGCAGCAGTGAACCAGGCCAGGAAGGTGCACAGCTGGAGAGTGCTTGCAGCAGAGAACCCGGCTAGGAAGGTGCACAGCTGGAGAGCGCTTGCCTAGCATGCACTAAGCCCAGGTTTTATCTTCAACACCACAAAAAATGAGCATAGTAGTCCATGTCTGTAACCCCAGAACTTGGGAACTGGGAGTCAGGAGGGTCAGAAGTTCAAAGTCATCCTCAGCTACCTAGCTACCTAGCCAGTTTGAAGTTAGCCTAGGCTACATGAGACACTGTCTCAAAAATAAACGGCAACCAACCACACTTAGTCCCTCTCCTACTGACCTTTTCACCACATCCTTGTATCCCGGGGCCTGCTTTTCTGACACAGGCTTCAGAAATGGACTGCTGAACCTGTTAAGAAATAAACCCAAAGAGGATAAAGAAACCCTGGCGAATCACTCTAAAGGAGCAGGGTGGCTCATAACAAGAATACTTCAAACTACAGAGTAAATGAGGTATGGTGGTTCATCATAGCACTAAGGACACTGAGACAGGAGGATCACCAAGAGTGGAAGGCCTGTCTCGACTACATATTGAGTTCTGGTTCTAGGCCAGCCAGGCTACAGGGCAAAAACAAACAAACAGCATATGTATGGCTTTTTGTTGACCTCCCTAAACAGCAAGAGTGGTAGGGAGGGGGGACCCAACCTGTAAAATATTTTAACTATTATCATAATCTCTTTTAGTTAAGGACTCAAAACTTTGTTCAAGGTTTCCAAGACTCTAGTTTTTTTTCTTTCCCTTTTAAAAGTATTTATTTTCATTTTATGTGTATGAATGTTTTGCCTCCATGAACATATGTGCATCACACGTGTGCAGTGCCCACAGAAGCCAGAAGAGAACACCTGATGCCTTGGAACTTGAGTTACAGATAGTTGTGAGCCACTGTGTGGGCACTGGGAACTGAGTCCGTGTCCTCTGCAAAAGCAGCAAGTGTTCTTACCTGCTGAGCTCTCTCTAACCATTTGTTTGTTTTGAGGCAGGGTGTCATGTAGCTCAGGCTAGCCTCAAACTTGCTATATAGCTAAGGATGAACATGTAGTTGTGATTCTCCTGCCTTGATGGGTGTGCACCACCAGACCTGACAGGTATCTGTAACACTGGGGAGTGAGTCTAGAGCTTCATACATGCTAGGTGAGCATTCTCCCAACTGAGCCACACCCATAGCTCTGAGGATCTATTACTGTGGAAAGGAAAAGCCACCACATGGGAAGGAGGCATCTATATCTGAAGTACAAAAATATCAAGTATTAGGAATAAATTTCTAGAGACAATTCAAATAGCACAGCAACGACTCCTTATAGACTAATAAAATAGCGATAGGTCTCACCCATGGTTTGGTTCTTAGTTTGGGGGCCTCTTTGTTTTGAGACAGTCTCCTGTAGCCCAGACCTGTCTCAAACTAGAATGCCTTTCGACTTGTGATCATCCTTCTTCCATCTCCCTAAGGCTAGGATGACAGGCATGTTAGGTCCTGGCCAGTGTTCGCTATGTTCAGATGAAACCTAGCACTTCCTGCATGCTGGGCAGGCACACAGCAGCCGAGTCGCAGACCCACACTCCCACTCCAGTTATGACTTGTATGAAGGATGAACATATCCCCTTCTGTGTTCATATCCAAGTACGTGTTTTGGTTCTGGAGATAATCTCACATTGGGAACCTACCTGTGACTGGCAATCATCTTCCAGACTTGCAAAAGAGTCTTCTTAAATAGGAAATGATCCTGAATAGGATCACCTTGGCTTAGGTCATTCCTACAGGATATATGACAGAAAAGAGACAGTCGCTTCATAAGTAGTACTGCGTCTCACTAGATGGGTAACGAGGCCTTCCCAAGGCACAGTGCTCCTAATTAAACACTTGAAGGAATGTAATATCACAGCTATGAAGATGTACTTAATACTCTTAGAAGGGATAGTAAACTGCATGTTTAACATTTTTTCTTTTCTGTGTCTCTGAGTGTGCCTGTGTGAATTTATGTGTGCCAAGAATGAACCGGTGCCTGTGGAGGCCAGAGACACTGGTTGCCCTTGGTACTGGAGTGACAGGTGGTTGTGAGCTCCCCGATATGGGTGCTGGGAATTGAACCAAGGTCTTCTACAAAAGCAGTCAGGGCTATTAACTGCTGGGTTCTCTCTCTCTCCAGCCACGATAAACAGTATCACTCCCACCCAGTGCAGTGGTTAACTGTTTTATATTCCTCTTTTTTTCCTTTTGAGACAGGGTCTCATGCAGACCAGCTGGCTTTGAACTAGCTATGAAACTGAAGATGACCCTGAACCCCTGACTCTCCTTCCTCCATGTTCCAGAACACTTGAGTTACAGGCTGATGCCACCGTGCTGGGTAAGGTCACTGTCTTATAAAGTAGACTACAATATGAGCCTGCTTGTGCCTTTCCCCTTTCCCTTCCCCACCCCCACCCTGGTGTTGGAGGCAGGGTCAGCTATGTAGTCAAGACTATTCTGAAAATCTGTGTTTAGCCCAAGGTGGCTTCCCAAACGCTGGGATTACAGGTCACCTGTGCCTCGTCACCTCCTGCTGGTTTGTGCCTGTGATTCTACAGAATTGGTCTGTTCAACAGTTTGAAGTGGGCCTAATGGTGCACACCTATAACTCAGTACTTTGGAAGCAGGAGGAGGAAGATCAGAGGTGAAAGGCTACCTAACGAGCTGGAGGTCAATCTGGGCTACATGAGACTCCACCTCAGTGTTCCTTCCTAAGTACCTAGAACCACCAGACACGTAGTAGATACTATTAATTTATTCCTGACATATCAATGAATTCTCTGTTTTATTTGAATGCTAGAGAGCAAATATTTTTCCTTTTCACTCTCCCCTGTATGCCTCATTAGAGGCAGGCAAGCTTAGCTCTCTGGAAGTCCATTTCTTTGGGCTATACACACACCACTCCCTTTCTAGGAATGCACATGGCAGCCTACGACCCTTACCTGAACACACTATGCATACCCGCTCCTCTCTGAACAATGTACCCAGAAACCTGTTGGCAGCTGGGGATCCCTCCCTGTATCAGGCTGTGAGTAGCTGCATTACACAGTAGAAATATGTCATTCTCCATATCAACTTCTTGATAATGGCCACCCCTGCTTTCCATTCTAACGTTCTGAAGTGGGCCCATCTGCCCTAGACTGGTTCTGGATGCAAACTGTCTCCTAACTGAACTTTTCTTTTTCCTCCCTGTTCTGGAGATTAAACTTAAGCCCTCCTGCATGCTACTCAATAGCCCCTCAGCCTTCCTTTGCACAGTGATCTTAGTTGTTTTCGTTTTCCCTCCGATTTCCTCTATAGCATGTGTGTGTGTGTGTGTGTGTGTGTGTGTGTGTGTGTACACGTGCGTGTGCACACAGGTGGGTACCATGGTGCACAGATACACATGGAGGTCAGAGGACAGGAGCAGGAGTTGGCTCTCTTCTTCCCCATGTGGGGCCCGGGGACTGAACCCACGTCAAGAGGCCGGCAGCTGTGTCTTCCACACCGAGCCCTCTCTCCAGCCCTCATTCTTCATGTTCGTTTGTTTGTGTTTTCATCCTGGGGCTTCTTGTGGGCTGGGCAAGCAAGCCCTCTACATTGAACTCTATCCTTAGCTACCATAATCTTTAAAATCTACCTACTACAGATTCTTTTCTCCTCGTGATACGGCCTGTCCTGCACTAAATTGTCTTACTTTATTTTGCTTTTCTTTTGAGATACAACAGTTCAATATTTTATCTCACCTTATAATTTTCCCAGTTGAGCCAGGCAGTGGTGACAAACACCTTTAATTGCAGCACTCAGGAGGCAGAGGCAGGCAAATCTCTGAGTTTGAGGTCAGCCTGGTCTACAGAATGAGTTCTAGGACAGCCAGGGCTACACAGAGAAACCCTATCTCGAAAAACAAACAAACAAAAAAAGGAAAAAGATATAAAGACTTTCTGCTTACTCCAAAGTTAAATGATATATTACATGTTCGACATTATATACTGTATTATTCCCTTGAAAGAGATTGTCTTAATACTTAGATTTCCAAATTCTCAAAATCAGGCATGGTGGCATATCTGTAATTCTAGCACTTGGGAGATAGAAACTGGAAGATCAGAACTTCATCATCCTTGACTACACAGTGAATTCAAGGCCAGCCTGGGCTACATGAGACCTTCTCAGGAAAAAAAGAATGTCATATTCTCATTTTGCATTGTATACCAGATGGTATAAATCCATGTGAAACTATAATTCCTATTATCTGCTCAATTTTAATACCTCCTCATAACTATTTATTTTCACTATGTATTATTTCAACTATATCTAGAGTCAATTTTTAGATTCATTTTTATTTGATGTGTATAAATGTTTTGATTGCATGTATGTATGTGTACTACGTGTGTACCTGGTACCTGCGGAGGTCAGAAGAGGGCATTGGATGCCCTGAAATTGGAGTTACAGAAGGTTTTGAACCACCATATGGGTGCTGAGAACTGAACCCTAGTCCTCTACAAGAGCAGCAAGTATTTATAACTGCTGCTTCATCTCTCCAGCCACTTGTAAACCATTTATTTACTTATTTATTTTGAGATATGGTCTCAGATATGTCCCAGAACTTGCTGTGTAAACTAGGCTGGCCTTGAACTCACAGAGATCCACATGCCTCTGTATCCTGAGTGCTGGGATTAAAGACATGTACCACCACACCTGGCCTCACCTGGATCTAAATCACATACCACCAAATCATATAATTTTACTATGATCTTTACTCAACTTATCCTTAAATGCTATTATTTACAGAACCCTATCCAAATAAGACAGTTAAAGCACAAAACAAATTTCTTTTCTTTTTTCCTATTTTATTTATTTTTTAAGATTTTATTTTTGTTTTGTAATTCTGTGTGTTTCTGTGTACATGAGTGCAGTGCCAGAGGAGGCCAGAAGAGGGTGTCAGATTCCCTGGAGCTGAGGTACAGATGGTTGTGAGCCTCCGGATATGGGTGCTGGGAAACGAACTTGGGTCTTCTGCAAGAGTAGCAAGTGTTCTTAACTGCTGAGCCATCTCTCCAGCCATTCCTATTTTATTTAATGTTTTTATTAGCATATATTAATTATACATAATAATGGATTTCATTACATTTTCATACACGCACATTGATAGATTTCAATCAAATTCACCACCCCTTACCATCTCTGTCCTCCTTCAACTGCTTTTCATCTCCTTCCTTTTCTCAGTTAGCCTCACCTCTACTTCCGTGTGTGTGTGTGTGTGTGTGTGTGTGTGTGTGTGTGTGTGTGTATGTCTGTGTCCCAGTGAGTGTCATTAGGTTGGTTTACAGGAGGGTGGGTGGGAGGTTGGTTACAGCAGCATCCGTGCCTTAAGTTTCTGATCACTCAGACTAGATTAACAATAGCTCTTTGTACTAGGTTGTAGAACTTCACTGATACATCCTCACAATAAAGACTTAATGTATCCACTATACATGCTGTGGCAGGTTTTGTAACCTCATAATTAACCACCTACGCATATTCTAAGAATCTGTCTAACCTTTATTTTACCCATATGGAGACAAATACCAGCCAACATAACTGAGAGTAAAGCAAGGGAGTGGCTAGTACTGCAGGACTAGTGACTAGTAGCAGGACTAGAACCCAGAGGCTGTCTCCTGTCCTGTCAGTCAGTGCAGACTTCAGCAGGAGACAGAAAAGAGCCTGGAGAACACCTGTTCTGTCTGTCTCTGTTTTCCAATGCTAGAACACAGGCCTTGAGTGTACTAGCCAAGAGCTCTATCAACGGGCTCTCTTTGGGGTTTTCCTCCACCTCCCCTCTACAGGGACGGTTGTTGTGTTATTGTCTGACAGAGGGCTTCACTTTTTAGGTCAACCAGAGAACTTGTGAGCTCTGGGATTATAGATGTGAGACACCAAGCCCAGATACGGGGCTGTTTTTTAAAGGAGTTTGAAACTTCTGCTTTAACATAAGAATTCAGCTTTCTATTTCCCCTTAAGATAACTGGCCAAGCCTGTAACCTCACTTAGTGGGTAGAGGCAGGAAGATCAGAAGTTTAAGATTACTCTCAGCTACATATTGAGTTCTAGGCCAGCCTGGGTTCCATAAGACCCTAGTTCAAAAACAAATAAACAAAAAAAGATATTTGGTTAAGCAGATATCATTACTGATATTCTGTTCTGTTCATATATGCAATTTTCTCTGAATTGAAACATTCCATTTTGAAATGAAACTCCTTAAAGATTCAGGAAGTTATCAGGCATGTTGGCACATGCCTTTAATCCCAGCACTTGGGAGGCAGAGACAGGTGGATCTCTGTGAGTTTCAGCCTGGTCTAGGACAGCCAGGTTTGATTCCTTGTCTTAAAACAAGACAAAACAAAGAAAAAGACTCAGGAAGTTCTAAAAGGACTTCCTTTTTAACTCATTAGAGGCTCATTAAGATCAGGAAGCAAACAACTGACAAGTCTCAGGAAGTCCCTGAAACTGAGAAGATTCACAGGCTCCTCTCCTGCCAAAGTTATATAAATAGTAAGGACTTCTAAGGAGACTCTCCAATCTATTGAGCTGCCTACAAGTTGTACAGAGGGATCCAAGATTTCATCTTTTGTGAGATGTTACCCATGATGGGTTGGGCTTTCAGTGATACAGCTGCCTTTGAGATATTCATTCTCCAGTAAGTAACCTCTCACCCATATTCCTGTAAATTACCCTAATAAACTCATTAGTTCACCAAGGTGTGGACTTTGGTGGTATCATTACTTTGGTCTGTGATCAGTTCCCTGCTGAGGTAAGTAGATGTTTGCTAGAATTTTCCCAGTAATAACATCACACAAAACCAGGTTCATTATGTAGTTCAGGAGCATCAGCCTCCAAGAGTGCTAAGATTACAGTCTGTCTGTACCAACATGCTTCACTATTTTTTGCTTTCCAAAAACAGTCTGAGGAGGACGTGGTGGAGCATATCTGTAATCCCAGTACTCAGGAGTCAGAGGCAGGAGCATTACAAGGCACAGGCTCACAGGTGCTCCCTAGTAAGACCATATTTAAAAATAAATAGATAGATAAAATATGGTCTTTAGTCCCTCAATTAGCTACAAAAGTAAGACAATTATATTAACAATTTCCCAAGATACATACAAGACAAAGGGAGAACATAAACTTTAATCTTAAAGAGCCAGGCATGATGGCTTAAATTTATAATCCTAGCACTTGGAAGGTAGAAATAAGAGGATCAATAGTTCAAGGTATCCTCAACTACATAGCTAATTTGAAGCTAGCCTGGGCTACATGAGACCCTGTCCTGGGGAGAAAAACATAATAATTTTTTAAAATATGTATTTTTGGAGACAGAGTTTTGTTCTGTAGCTCTGGCTGTCCTGGAACTAAGTAGACCATGCTGGCCTTGAACTTGAAGCAAAGTCTTCCTGCCTCTGCCTCCCGAGTGTGAGAGCACAGGCATGCACTCCTGGCCCTGTTTCAATAGTTTTTAAAAACGTCTGGTTTGTATAATAGTAGATCACTGAGCACCATTTCCTTAGTAAATCAAACTAGTAATTATTGAGAAGGTTTATGTATGATAGAGAGAGACTCTTTCCCCCGTCTTTTTCCCAATGCTGGAGATTGAACCTAGGGCTTTTCATCTACTAAGCAAGCATTCTATCACTGAGCTACGACCTCATCCACGAAGGCACTCTTAATATCAACAAAACAGGCTGTTTGTTGTTTTTAAGGTTTATTTAATTTTAAGTGCATAAGTGTTTTGCTTGCATGTATATATTAGCACTGAGTATGTGCCTGGTACTTAACAAGGGCAGAAGTGGGTGTCAGTTACCATGAAAATGGAGTTATAGGCAGTTGTGAGCCACCAGATAGGTGCCAATAACTGAATCTAAGTGCTCTGCAAAAGCAGCAAGCACTCTTAACCACTGAGCCATCTCTCCAGCTCCAACAGGCTTGTAAACTTCTATTTATAGTATGTTAAATTTAACCTGAGCTCAGGAAGTCAGGCTAGCTTTGGTGACATATTGAGAACCTTGTTCAAAAAATTATTCTTTGTGGTTTCCACCTGTGACATCTTTAAAACCTTATAAAATAATTCATTTCATGGTAACAGATTCAAGTAACTACCCAGAGAGGTAAATAAAAGTATGAATCCTAACAATCATGGATGGAGACCTATGCTTAGAGGTCCTAGCCACGCTGGGGATCACATTCAGTATCCTGAGTATGTTAATCAAGCACTCTACCATTCAGTCACACCCCAGCCCTATACTTACAGTTGTGAGGAGTTGGAACAGTTGTAAAGGATATCCACCAGGGGAGTTTCCTGAATGCCCACGCCATCATCATAGTCACCTAAAGGGGGCTGGTCTTCCACATCTGAAGCATCCCCTTCACCCTGGTCCTCCTCTTTGGAGTCTTGCTGAGCCTCCCCCTGGGAAATCCAAGAAGCACAGGGAACTTTAGAGCTATTCTAGCTGCACCATAACTCGACTTACACAGACTAAGCGAAGGTAGACCTTAAGGTGAGGAGAGGCCAATTCTATACAGCACCAGAAAAATGAGAACAAGGTGACTTTGTTAGACAAACCAATAAAGTTTATTGATAACCTGAACAATTTAAAAATGTCCCCAAAATGAAAAAGTATACTTAATTCTAAATTTGATGTTGACCTCTATAGGGAAACAAACAAACAAACAAACAAAAACAAAACCCAACCCTGCGGTCTTAAAGTTAGCTATTAACAGTGAGATTCCAAATGTACTGATTATGTTAAGGCTAAAACAAATGTTAGGATAAAAATGGCAAGTTTGGGAACAGTGGGAAAGCTAAATAAGAGGGCTTGGAGCTGGGTGTGACGTGGCTAACTGGGCTGTAGCTCAGTAAAGTGTTTGACTAGCACGCTTGAAGCTCTGGGCTCTATCCCCACCAGGAAAAGAGAAAGTACCATAGGCCTCAGCAGGCTCTAGTCAACGCCTGTGGGTGGACACTTCCCTGATAAGGACAAGCAGAGTACCACTGCCCTTTCCCTACTAACTTTTTCAACCTTTCTGTGTCCTCTCACATTTAGTGCATCTAGTTGTTACAAACTAATTAGGGGTAAAGACATCTTCTAAGAAACCCTCTGCCTGTTCCAGGAAAGAGACCACCCCTACTGTCCCAGCATGAGGCTATGAGGTTAAAATGGGAGGCTGTTGCCCTTTAGCTCAGACTTTCACTCTGGAAGGTGATTTCCTGCTGTGGTTCTCATCTGCTGAAAATAATCCTCTGACTCTTTGTTCTACCTGTTTGGGGTGAAATGCTGAGGACATAAGGACAGATGGCTGTGGCTGTGATCAAACAGGAGACAACTCCATCTGTATAACAATTTTTCTTTGGGTTTTTGAGGCAGGGTTTCTCTGTGTGGTCCCGGCAGTCCTTGAACTCATTCTGTAGACCAGGCTGGCCTTGAACTCAGAGATCCACCTGCCTCTGCCTCCAGAGTGCTGGTGTGAGTCACCACCACCCAATAATAATAATTACGAGCCGTGCATTGTACTTGACATGAGCTATCTTTTTATTTCCCTATTTATTTATTTGTTTTTTTAGTTTTTGTTGTTTTGCCTCTGGAGTGCTGGGATTAAAGGCATGTGCCACCACCACCTGTATTTTCAGTTTTTAATTATGTTTACTTGTACACACACACACACACACACACACACACACACACACACACACACAAGCACACGTGGAGATCAGAGGACAACTTTCAGCAATCAGTTTCCTCCTTCCAGCATGTGAGTTCTGGGGACTGAACCTGGGTCTTCAGACTTGGTAGTGAACACCATTAGCTGCTAAGCCATCTCATTTTCCGATTTAGCTATTTATTGGTTTTGAGACAGGTCTTACTGTCTTGCCCAGGCAGATCTCAGCCCCCAGTCAAATAGTCCTTCACCTCAGCCTCCTGAGTGGCTGTGTGCATCACTGAACTCGGCTCAGCTGTCTCCTTTGTTTACAACCCACTCTTAGTTACCTCAGGCTGGACTTAGATGCAGCTGAGGATAACCTCAAAATTCTGCTCTTCCTGCTGCTACCTCTTGACTGCTGGGATTACACATGTGCATCGTTACGCCCTGCTTATTTGCAGCTAGGGATCCAACTCAAGGCGTTATATGCATGCTAAGCAAGCAATCTACCAATTAGCTCACCCCCAGCACTGTTTTGTTTTAAGACAGGGTGTCTTATAGCCCATGCTGGTTTCAAATTCATTGTGTAGCCAAGGATGGCCTTGAATTTCTGATCCTCCTGCCTTTGCCTTCCAAGTGCTGGGATTACAGGGTGTGCTACAATGTCCGGCTGAATTCTTACATCCAAATCTCACCATAAGATCTTTAAAGAACGCCTTTAATCCCAGCACTCAAGAGGCAGAGCCAGGCGGATCTCTGTGAGTTCGAGGCCAGCCTGGGCTACCAAGTGAGTCCCAGGAAAGGCGCAAAGCTACACAGAGAAACCCTGTCTTGAAAAACAAAACAAAACAAAACAAAACAAAACAAAAAAGATCTTTAAAGAAGAACACTATTTAATCTGTGTGGAGCAGAGAAAACAGGGTTCTGAATATCCACTAACACACTATAGATCACAGGGCGCTTTGGACCCAGGAAGTTCCACTAACTGGAGTTAGGAAGACCAGGTGATTGAAACGGTTTCCCTCTTCACTCTCTGTGGGTAGCCCCTCTATGGTATAGTATCTGTGGGGGCTGGAGCTGCCTCTGGCTTTCCATATTCTCTCAGTAGCTTCTTTCAAGCCACCGAGTCTAGCTTGGCTACAAGCTCTTCAGTCTGTCTGCAGGGCTCCTCTTTCACTTTGGTAGTTTCCATTTCCTTCCTCTCCTGTTGCCTGGTACCAACCAGACGAAGGGCAAGAGTTTTCCCTTGATTCTTTGCTGCTAATGCACAATGGCTCCACTAAATAAGCTACCTGCAATCAAAGTTTATTATTAGATGCAGTGGAACAGCAGCGGAAAACAGCATCCATACCTCAGTGATACCACATGCTCGCACTATCAGTATGATGTCTTAGATGGCAACTAGATTTAACCCACTTGATTATTCAATTAAATTTTATCAAAGGCACTGGGTTAGTTGTGGTGAACATGTAGACATAGTTCTTGGCTCTTTTTGATTATGGTATAATTTTTAATCTCAAGTGCCAATTGTGATTAATTGGAAGTAGCTGTCTAGAAAACTTAAAATCTCTTTCTTCTATAGAAGTGGTGATATTTGAACTAGATACTTGCTGAACTTGATGTACATTCTATTGAATATTTTCAGCTGCAGAATAAATATAAATTCACTGTTCCAATCTGTTGGTCCTCAGCCCTTAACCAAGGTAATGACACTTGAACAAATAGCAAGAATACTCATCATAAAGCAGCCCTGCATATAAAAATTCTACTTCCTAAGACCCAAGGGGCTAAAGATGTGCATTTAAGACATCCCATTGCCAACTACACTTTTGTCCCATATTCTACATCAGCACCAAGTGCTGAGGGCATAGCAATCAACCAGCCACTGCCATAGTGGAACTTGTATTTATTTTTTAAAGATTTATTTTTATTTGCTGGGCATGGTGGTACATGCTTTTAGTCTCAACACTCAGGAGACAGAGGCAGGCAGATCTGTTTGAGGCCAACCTAGTCTACATAGTGAGTTCCAGGACAGCCAAAGCTGCAGAGTGAGACCTTGCCTCAAAGAAACAAACAAACATACATACAAAAAAAAAAAGTTTTTAATTTTATTTACATATATGTGTGCATGTTTCTGAGCATAGGACACATTTATGTGGGTATCCAAAGAGGCCAGAAGAGGGTACTGATCTCCTGGAACTGGAGTTACAGGCATTTGTGAGCTGCCTGATGTGGGTGCTGGGAACCAAACCCCAGGCATCTGCAAGAGCAGCAGGTGCTCTTAACCACTGACTCATCATCTCTTTAGGCCCTGAGCCTCTGTTTCAGTAAACTACTAATCGTAGCAGGACTATGCAAGGGAAGCATTTGGTAAAAAGCTGGTGGGACAGGGCGGTGCACCCCTGGGAATGCCAGCCCTGGGGAAGCTGAGGCAGAGTTCCCAGGACTAAGTAGTCAGATCGGATCTCAAAAGGAAGGAAAAGAGAAGGGGAGGGGAGGGGAGGGGAAGCGGGAAGAGGGAGGGAAAGAAGTGCGGGTCTTTCCAGCTGTGGCAATCATAGCTTCCCCTTTACCTCGGAGAGGGAGTGGAGGGGATTCTGGCTGCTGCCTTGCTCGGCCTCCTCCTGAGGTTCTTCACTCTCCACATCTTCCACAAGAAACTCACTCGATTCTCTCTCGGGGCTGCTTTCCTCTAGGTCTTCAGCCTCCGTATCTGGAGCCTCAGTTTCCCTCCAGCTGCCCACATCAAGGTCCAGACTGGAGTCCCAGGAGCTGAAGAGGGACCTGCAGTCATTGCTCAGCTCAGAGTCATCACGATAGTCATGTCCAGAATCCAACCAAACCCACTCACACCCCATCTGGAAACATACAGAAAAATGCATTAAATTAACTCAAATAAAAACAAAACAAATTAAAATAAACACTCTCAATACACCCCTATCTTTCAAGTTCATAGAAAGGGTCCAGAAATTTCTATTCATTAGGAGGCATAAGAGCCAGCTAAAGGGAGACATTAGATGAAAATTTTATCTTTTGGATAAAAAAAAACTTCAGGTTTGTATTACCCCATTTTTAAACTTGGAGATCTTCATCTCCAAAAAGGTGGTGGGGATTGAAGCATACCTGCCTTAACAGACTTGCTTTATCACAAATCATCCATGAACACAACCACAAGGCAATAAACTTGAGAATAAAGATTTTCCTCAGAGTATACACATTTTAATCTATTATGAACTTATTAACCATTAGTTTCAAAACAATCATGGTTACCTTTGGCATCCTTCTGGTCATATCTGACTGTCAGAATAAAAACAGAAACACTTTTTTATTCATTTGGAAATTTTATTATTGTTACGTGGTGTGTGCATAAATGCCATGTGTGTGCAAGTATGTGAATAATGCCATGCATGTGCAGATGTCCATGGGCCAGCAGAGTGAGGGATTGGATCCCTTGGATTATAATGGTGGTAAAGCCACCTGATGTAGGTGCTGGGACTTAAACTCAGGTCCTCTGGAAGAGCAGCAAGCACTCTTTTTAACTCTTGATCCATCTCTCCAGCCCAAAACAGTTTTAACCGCCTCCTCTTGTTCATTACATTGTTTTTTGCACTTTTCTTTTTTCTTCCGTTTAAAGACAGGGTCTCTTGTAGACTAGTCTCACATTCAGTAGGCAGCTGAGAACGACCTGGTTTTACTTGGTGCTAGGAATGGAATCCAGGATTTCGCACATAGTAGGTAAGCTAGCTACACCCCAGCATCTAGCTACAGCTTTCAATAGATTTTTTTTTTTCTTGAGTTCTTGCTTGGTCTTCTGCTTTGTCATTAATTCCTTTAAAGTTTCAACTTTTTTCTCTGTTCAAGTTGCTCCCTTGAGTTTTAAAAAATTTAAAATTACTGTTAATGTGTATACGCCTGTGTGACAAGGCTCCTCAGGTATGGGAGTTAGAGGCAGTTGGGGGCTGCCTGGTGGAGTGCTAGGAACTCAGTCTCTCTGGAAGAGCAGTACATGCTCTCCGTTTCTCCACACCACCACCACCCCGTATTGTTGGTGGTGTTTTGTTTGTTTGTTTGGGTCTTGCTATATCATCAAACTCAAAATTCTATTTAAGCTTCACAAGTGCTGGCTGGAATTACAAACTCACCCACCATGCCTAGCTTTCCACCATTGAGGGGAATGTCTTTCATCTGTCTGTACTTTATTGCTCCAATAGCCTGAGTCCTAATTATGTCTCCTTAGTCTTGCCCCCAACAGTTACTACCTTTGGAAGCTCATGTATCAGCTTTTCTACCAACTGAAAATTTACCTTTAATGTACTTTATTCACAAACTTTTCCAACTTAAAAACTTTTTAAATTTTACTTATTGAGGCCAAGTCTCACCATGCAGCCCTGGCTGGCTTGTGACTCAAGAGATCCACCTCCCTCTGCCTCTGGAGTGCTGGGATTAAAGACATGCACACCCGTGACTAGCAGTTTTCCAACTCCCAGTGGCTTCGTTTGTAGCACATGTCAGTTTGTGGACTGCTTTGAGACTTATTTCATATTCTAACTCCTGGACTGACTGAATTCGATTTCATTTCAAAGACTAACTTCTCCCTTAGCCTAACAAATTTTACATTTTTGAACAGGGTCTTATGTATCTTGGGGTGGTCTAAATTTTGCTAGTAGCCAGCTATTATCGGCTTTATCTTTATCTACCTGCTGAGTCCAGGATTACAGACTTCTGTCACGATGGTGTATGAAGGACTAGGCATCAAACCCAAGGCTTCCTCCATTCACTCTAAGCTACATCCCAAACCCTCAAATTTTATAAACAGTCCTATTTTAGGCACTAAGACCTGACCCTTTTTACTTATTTTATTTTATTTTTTTTAAATGACAGGGTCTCAACTAGGCAGCCCTGGCTAGCCTGGAACTCACTATGTAGACCAGGCTGGCCTCGAACTCACAGGAGATCCATCTGCCCTTGCCTCACGAATGCTGGGATTAAAGATGTGCACTACCATACCTAGCTTTAGGTATATTCTTCTTAAACCTTTTCCCTCAAGAAAGAATAAAGAACTAAAGCATGTCCTATTATTAATTTTATTTTTAAAAAGGTTCATACTAGTTCATTTTACTGCTGAAAGAATATTTTATTTAGTAACAGAAATTAGTATGGATAGAACTGAGGTCACATGGTCTTAACACATTTAAAAAGTTTTAATTACATTTGTGTGCACACATCCATGTATACATACAAGAATGCACATGCCACTGTGTGTGTGGAGGTCACAGGAGTCAGTTCTTTCCTCCCACCATGTGGTTTCCAGGATCAAACTCAGGTGGTCAGGCATGGCAGCAGGTACCTGAACCTACTAGACGTCCGTCATGCAAGCCCCACCAGTACACTGTTTTGAGACCGCCTCCCTCCCCTCTGCAGTCCAGGCTAGCCTCAGGCTGCCAGCTGTCCTCTTGCCTCAGTTTCCCAAGTGCTAGGATTACTGGTATGAGCCACCATGTTGTTTTTTCCCAGCACGGAGACTGCCAAGGACACTAGCCAAGAGCTGTACAGTTACACTACCAAAATATAGTCCCAGCCCTAAACTTTCCGAGATTAACCTTCACACAAACAAACTTAGCAATGACTTGTTGCTGTTGCTGTTGTTTCTAAGCACTCTTAGCCCAGTGTGGCACACACACCTATAATCCAAGCTACTGGGGAAGTTGAAATTAGAGGATCTTGAGCTCTAGGCTCGCTCCCTCCCTCCCTCCCTCTCTCACACACACACACACACACACACACACACACACACACACACACACACACTCACACACACTTATTGTACAAGCATTCTACCGATAGAAATAACAATAACACAGGCAAAGACAGTCCCGGCACAACCCATTCCTGACACTCTGCTGCCTTTGTCCATGCTCTAATCCGCAAGGAATAACATGAACTAGATCCTGAAAACCTTAACATTTTCCAAATATTCAAGAAAAGCCCAATCCAACAGCCCTATTGCACAATTAGTTCTTTTAGAAACACTAATTATGAATTTAGACTTGGTTACTCACCTCTTCTCAGGTGCAGCAGGCAGCTTCTAAGACCACTTCTCAGCTCTAACAATCTTAGCCCACATGATTAGTTATCATGGTGAAGAAAACACATTTCAAACACAAAGGACACACCAAAGGCCAGAGTTTTCCTTCTGTTTGTTATATACACACGCTTCACAGGTTTATTTTTTAAAAAAGTCTGTACACTTCACAAGACAGTACAAATTGGCTACAATCCGCTAGCTACACATTAGGGCATTAACACAACCCATGATTTTTGCCCTAAAACGGGCAACTGTGCTACTCCAACTCTCTGAAAAGAGATTTTTCTCAACTCATGGCATCTGGCCCAGGCACCTTCTCTTCTGGGCCCATACTGCTTCTCAGCCTTTTGACTAAGATCAAGTGTGGACCTGAGCCCACAAGCCCCACGCTAGATCTTGTTTATTCCTAGTTCAGGTTCAGCTCAGAGGGGACTCTGAGGCTTCACTTCTTCATCTTCATATCTGCTTCAATGGCACAGCGGCGTCCCCTGGTTCCCCCGTCCTAGACAACACCGAAGGGAGGGAGGAAGGAAGGAAGGAAGGAACATGAGTGAGCTGGTAACACACTAAGAGACGACATACAACAGGAACGCTGGGAATCTGACTTCTGGGGGGAGAATCTACAGAGACTACCACAGGGATGAAGTGGAAGGATTTTCTGTTTTCCCACAGAGTAGCTAAAAGAACACCTGATACTGTGAGTGGAACTGTAAGAGAGTACTTTCTCATGTCAATATAAAGGTCTTCAAAATTCACCTGGGGTCCCACAGAATGACTACCAGTCATCCCACCCAGCCCCCAATTGTGTGTAAAGAACAGGTAGTGAAAATGAGAGGTGAGAGAGGCAGAAAGGGCAGCGGGTAGTGAGGTTCTTGGCTAACATACCTGTCCAGTTGCTGGTCCCTATAAGAAAGGCCTTTCCTGCAGACTGACCCTGGCACTAGTTCCCTAGCACCTCCTGACAGATGTTCTCCATGAGATCAGGACAATCAGGCTTCTTTCCATCTGCTGCTCTCTCCCTGCAGCCCAGCTCCTTCCTCTTGTGCAAAACTTTGCTGTCTTCGATAGATAAAAGATCCTATTAACTGGCCTTGCAATAGCCAGCCACTTGAATGAGGATCGAGAGTCACTGTTGCAGGCCAATAACAAAGAATAGCGATCACAGTGTTCTGTTTGTGGTACAGGTCTATAGGCAAGATGAACTAGTGAACACTTTTGCTGGGCCGGACCATTTCTGCATTTCTAATATGCAAGGATTAAAAAATTTTTAGAACATAAGTTGCCAATAGCCAACAGTAAGAATAGAAATAACACCTTGCATTTGTGTAACATTTTAATTTGTTTTAAAGTTAGTTTCATAACTTAGTTTATCCTCACAACATCCCTGTGAGGTAGGCTAGACAGGTATCTCAATCTCATTCTTTCTTCTTCCTTTTTGAAAAAGACTTATTTTCATTTAGTGTGTATGAATGTTTTGCCTGCATGTGTATTCGTGTACCACAAGTGTGCAGTGCCTGTGGAGGCCGGAAAAGGGCTTTGGATTCCTTGAAACTGGAATTAGAGGAGGTATGAGCCACCATGTGGTTGCTGGACACTCAACCCAGATCCTCTCCACAAACAGGCAGAGTTCTTAACTTCTGAGCACCTCTCTAGTACTCCTCCTCCTGCTCTCTTTGGAGACGGGGTCCGAGGCCATAGCCTAGGCACGCCCTGACCCTCCTGCACTCAACTCATTAGTACTTCTATCACAGATGAAAACAACAAGGCCCTCAAAGGCTGTCCAATGATCTTAAGACCATGTGGGTTTTCAGCATGCTTTTCCTTACTTCACTGCTCTACCATGAACAGTGTTAGTCATTTAATTTATGGAGCAAAAAAAATAAAAGCCTTTAGGCTAGATCTATTATGTTCGCCTGTCACCCCACCAGCTAGTATTGTATCCAGTGGTCACCGCTACCGGGATCTTTAAAACCATTTTTAAGGAATGTGACGTGTGTGCAGGAGCACATATGCCACGGTGCACATGTGGAATGCAGAGGTCAACTCTGTGGAGTTAGTGCTCTCCTTCCGCTTTCATTGGGGTCTGGGGATCAAATTCAGTTCGCCAGACTTCCACGGCAAGTGCCTTGACCACTGGAATCTCGAGCTTAGCTCTACTGAGGGTTTGTGTGTCAAGTCTCTCAGTTGAGGTAGGAGGAAGCGGAAGGTGTGTGTTAAAAATCTGCCAACACACGGACACTGCTGAAAAGCCAGCAGCAGCTGCCGCCCTGAGCTATCTTCCACTTGTAACTAAAGAACTGGTAAAAGGTGGAAGTGAGAAATGAGGAGCAGGTGCATCCTAGTCTTTTACCCCAAGAACACTTCCGGTTTCAGTGCAGCCATCTTATAGTCAGTCCCTTCCCAGCGACAGACACCCCGCCCCCCCACGCTCCCTGACACACACATATACACACACACACACACATGCAAAGAGCCCAGAATGCAGAAGAAAGGAGTTTCTTATTCAATGGATAAACAGAATTTCAAGACATTGCCATAGTCTGCATGTTGGATTTCCCTCTGCCACCCAGGCCCAGCAGGAGCTGAGAATCTTTCTGCCAACATCACCCCGTGCAGCCATTCAATACTTACAAAGAGAGAGAGAAGGAAGGCAGGAGAGCCCATGGGGACACTGTCCTGTTAGAGGACAAACAAATACTGATCAGGTTCCACAGAAACTCTCAGCCACAAGCACCCCAAACCTAAGGACAGAGGCAAAAGCACCACACACACAGCACAAAGACAAAAATGTAAAACTGGAGATCAAGAGGAAAGATCCCACAGCCATCCGCCATAGGACTCCAGAAGAGGAGCTAAGTTAAGTCACCAGCCGCTGGGAGCTACTTCCCCCCACCCTGACAGCACTCTCCTAGAGGATTAACAATCCACTCCCTCGCTCAAACTTTCGCCCATGTCAGTCACGCAGATTTCTCCATCAGCTAGACAGGAGCAGCCACCACCATTCTAACATCTGTTTGCACACCACCGGCTTGCAGAAGGTTAGCAATATCAGAGTAACTTAGGTTCTCTGGGTGTTTTAGACTTCATTTCTGTCTCCTTACCTTCTCTGAAGCATCTTGTTTTCGGGTAGAATCTCTCCCCCGAAGACTTTTAGCACTGATTCCAGACTCAGATGTTTGCATAATCAACTGTGTGGCCAAGAATTGCTGTAGGGAGAAGAAAAAAAGTTTGGCCACAAAGATCCGATCTAGTAGGAAAGGACCAACATACTTCAGGTTTTGTGACTATAACTTATATAGTATCTTCTATTCACTACTTTTTGGCTTACTAAGAGGCTTAATTCTAACTGTTCCTAAATAACTTAGAAGTGAAAAGTAGCTTTTAAATAAAATAAACCAAAGACCTTTCTTTCAGCAATTCAAGTCACTTGGCATACTTAACAAAGATACACTGGTCCTCCAAGGCCAACATCATAAAGGTGTGTGGGGATACAACTCTAAGACTCAAGGGGACTTCTTGTGGTAATAGGGATCACGAACTCTTGGTGCATGTGCCACAGAATTCTATGTAACTAAAAGTAACATTAACCCCTTAAAAACTAACTTTAAAACTTCAGGGATATAGGGCTAGGGATATAGGACTAGGGATATAGCTTAGCTGGAACAGTGCTTATATGCCACACATGAAGCCCTCCCTGGGCTTAATTCCTAACATGAATAAATTGGGTGTGGTGGGGATAGGATGTAGCTCAGTGGTACAGTATCTGTGCAGACCCTGGAAGTACTGGTTTAGATCCCTAGCAACAAGAGCAAAATAGCAGCAGCAACAAAAACCTTCAAAAACTGGATTCATTTGCCCAAGAAAGACAGAATTTCTACCATATTTCTTCCATCAAACCAATAAAACCTATACAACTTCAGTAAGAAAAAAAAATTACTTATCTGTGTTCCTGATGCCTATTACAAACAAAAGTCATCAATATGAATTCTTCCCTTTACTTCATCCCTACTGAAACAAAAATGAGCCTCAATGTACCTGGATCTGTTCCAGGACATCTCTTTGCATCTCTACTGCCATGTGATACACATCATGGTCTGAGCTGTTATACATAACAGCATTCTGAAACATCAGCATGATGTCACGCTGAAACTCGGCTGTGCTGCGGATCAGTCCATTTTCAATGTTTTTCTTAATTGTTGACAAATCCATAGGTCTAAAAAATAAATAAATAAATAAACAGGGCTAATTGGCTGTGGAGGAGGAGGATTCATTTGGATTTCTGAATATAGTATCACTATATAGTCCTGTTCACATATACCTTCAGTATCAGCCACCAAGATTTAAATGCCAACCCATTATCCCAAAGCATGTACTCAATTGCCCCCAAAAGCCAATCTGTATAATAGGCATCAAGAAAAGTAGCAAAAGGTATTAATTCTTTTGGACTATTAATGGTAATTAGCCACTGCAATGGTCAGTTTAACACTAATCCTATTCTTGAACAATCTCGGCATGTGTGAGGCAGAGGCAGGGATTACTCACTCTCTGACTTTGAGGCTAGCTTGGTCTACAGAGTTCCAGGCCAACTAAGGCTATATATAATGAGACCCTGTCTCAAAACAAAACACTTGCCGGGCGGCAGTGACACACGCCTTTAATCCCAGTACCCCGGAGGCAGAGGCAGGCAGATCTTTGTGAGCTGGAGGCCAGCCTGGTCTACAGAGCAAGATCCAGGACAGGCACCAAAACTACACAGAGAAACCCTGTCTTGAAAAACAAAACAAAACAGACAAACAAACAAACAAAAAACCCACTCTTGCTTTAAATGTACTACCTAATGCAAAAATTCACTTATGTCTACACCAACTCTAAGTCAGGCCTGTTGGCTGGACCACGGCTTACCTCTGCACGATGCTATGATAGCCCGGTGCTATGTCATCTGTGACAGGTTGCAGGAACACATTGGCATACCTGTCCAAAAAGAATACATTTGTTATTGACTTATTCTCCTGAAGCAAAAGGAGAGAATTCACTCTATGCAACAGAAGGTATGTAGACCCAACACCAACATACGTAGTCTCATGGCTTACTCAAATATTTCTTTTTTTTAAAGATTTATTTATTTATTATATATACAGTGTTCTGTGTGCATGTACACCCACAGACCAGAAGAGGGCAACAGATCTCATTACAGGTGGTTGTGAGCCATCATGTGGTTGCTGGGAATTGAACTCAGGACCTCTGGAAGAACAAGCAGTGCTCTTAACCTCTGAGCCACCTCTCCAGCCCCTCAAATATTTCTTAAGCCAACAACAAGGAGCTGGCAATGCCTGCTCACCTGTGATTTGCTGCAGCCCTCCACACAAGCATAATGGCTTTCTTCCATATTTTCTGAGCCTGAATTGCTTCTTGATCTTCACTGCACACAGAGCTGAAATAGACACAGGAGTGCTACTAAGCATAAGGAGAAAAACCAAGTCCTATTTCTCTCCAAACTATTTGTTCAAGCCGCGAGGGAAAATTACAAGTAAAATTAAGGCTAGGGATGTGGCTCTATGGTAGAATGCTTGCCTAGCAGTCAAAAGTTCAATGCCCCCAAATACCAAAAACACCCACCCACACCCACACCCACACACTGTGGGGAGTGAGGAGGCATGGCTGTTCATACCTATAATCTGCCTGTAATCCTAGCACTTGGGAGACACAAGCAATAGGATGAGGAGTTCAAGATCACCCTCAGCTATGTAGTATGAACTGAACACCAGCCTGGGGTACATGAGACCATGTCTCAAATGGAAAAAAGAAGGAATCACAGATACTCACAACTGTGAGGAGGCAGGGCTGCTTGGGATAGAGTCTGCCAGCGTGTGTGACTGCAGTGTGGCATTATGGATACTAAAGCCATCATCACTTTCGCTCACAGGGGGTTCATTATCCATCTCAGACAAATAGCCTTCTCCTTGATCCTCTTCCTTAGGCTCTTCTAGGCTAGCTACCTCACTGACTCCGTCTTCTTCCTCCTCCTCACCCGGAGCATCCTTAGATAGAGTATGCATTAGTCAACAAATGCAAGCAGAGCTACCTAGTAAAGCATTATTGAATGAGATCTGTTTTGGGTTAGATCAGCTTTAGAAACGGCCTCACACTTGTTTTCTTTTTTTTGCTGAGCCCTCTATCACTTATACTACCCTCTACTTAACTGACTAAGTAAGATCAAGTAATTTAGAGCCTGGACAAAGAATAAAGCCCAGGACCTTTTTTAAAGGAAGGAAAAATAAAAAAGCTACTTACTTAAGACTAAGCTAAGAGGCGTTCCTTCTTTCCCCTGGCTCTTGAGAGGAACTCTGACCCTGGGTACAAAGTTATCGAGAATCATTTTATTTCATGTCTTTGCTGATGGAGCAAGCTCACCTCACATTACTTTAAATCTGTTCCTACTACTTTAGTGACTCGAAGATAAAACCCAGTAATTCTCTTCCAATAGTCTAAACGGTAACCTGACTCCCCACACGTTCTTCCTGGCACCCCTAGTCACTCTCAGTCATTCCGGATGTACTAAACTTCTTTGTGCACTATCCATAGAGAAACTACGTGATCTTCACAACTCTCCTAGGGAAGCACACGCTGCTGCTACAGTACTCCCATTAGGCCAGACTGTCTACTACAGCTTTTACTCATCCAACTCCCTACCAGTTTTACAAAAAAGATAAAGATGAATTTACTAAAATTCATTTAATAGATAGCAGTGTGGGAAAATCTAATCATATGGCAAGAAGAATAAAGAAAAGTCTGAAATACCTTTATCTGGCTTCCAAAAATAGTCCCTGATTCTTCTTTCAATGGGTCTGCAGAGGAGAGAAAGACTCCCTGAAGAGTTGTGCCTTAGCTTCCCCTTCCTGTGACCACGAGCCTTCCCTGAAGCTCTCCTTTCTTTCCATGCTGTCCTGGCCTACTCCTCTACTTGCCCACAACCCACAAACCCTGAGAAGCCAAAGGAAGAGACTTCAAGTTAGACACAGTTCAAAGTTCCTATCCTTTACTTACCTGACATTTCAAACTTGTGTTGAGTCTCTGCCTCTAAAGGATCTTCAATAGGATTTGAGCCATGTGATGGAGACAACATGCTTTCAGGGGATGCCTGAAGATCAAAAAAGAGTAAGTATCTAATTACTAAGAAATTGTTATAGCTCCCACAATTTTATTCTCCAACGATTGCAAGACCATAGAAGAAATCATCTAGTATTTTAATGATCGCTTGGCAGGATAGGGTGAGTATAATACTAGTTGGCAGCCTGTGGCTTTGGGTATGTGCAACGTGCCAAGACTCAGGAATTCAAGAGCCTAAGTTGCCTAAGTCATACCCTCCTCCTCTCTTCCCAACCCAGTCATATTAACTACCTCTGTCTTCACAGTTGAAAGTGGCATCTCATCGCCTTTCCCACCAGGACCATCTGTTTCACCAATCTCTCCAGCTGCAGAACTTCTAGGCTCTTCATCTAAGTCTTGACTCCTGAGTTCTGGTGGCTCCATACTTGAGACTGGACCGACTCCAGCTACTATCTCCGCCCCTGACATGCCTGGCTCTGGCTCTGCAGGTTCCACCTTAATCTCCACACCTGACTCCCTGATGTCTACCAGTTCATGGATTCCTTTGTTTTCGGGTTCCTCAAAGTCGAGCCTCTCTTGTTTGACTGTCATCTCTGGTGCTGGAAGAGATACTGGCTTGTCCCGCTCCTGCTGGATAGGGTGCTCCCAAGGGCCAGGTAGGGACTGAGGGTCATCGTTTTCTTCACAGAATGACAGTGCTGCTTCTACAGCTGCCACATCCAGCACTTCAGGGTGATCATCAACCTGTCCCCCAAGACACAAACTGTTGAGAACACAGAAAGAGCCCCCGAGTCCCTCAGTGCACCAGGACAGAATCAGATGCTGGGTCTAAAGCAGCTCTCTCCACCCTGACCGAAGTCTGGTGGAAACAGCACTTGTGCTGAGCAAACAAGTGGGCGGCAGGAAGATTAGCAGTACATCAGACTTCCAAGATGGAAATGGGCAAAAGAACGAGTCGTCATTCTTACTAAGAAAATCAAGAAAGGAAGAAGAGGGTAGTCTGTGTAGTTCTACACAGGGAGACTTTTCAGGATTTTGCTAAGTAGTTACCTTGTCTTCAATGATGGCAATAATATCTCCAACTGTTTCAAAGTCCAACTCTTCACCTGTGTAAGACACAGCAATATCCATCTTCTCCGCCAAATCTAAATCTTCCTTCCCATCTATGCTTGGAGCCTTTGATCCACCAGGCGCCTCTGCTACTCCTGACCGGAAACACTCTTCTTTGATAGAATTAATGATCATGGAGATTTCACTGCTATCCATGGAAACAGTCACAGTATGTGGATCCCCCACAGCTTCCAGGGGAACACAGCTCTCAGGCTGACTCACTGATTAACAACAGGAAGAAAAAAAGCAACTCAGAAGCTTATCCACTATTAAATGACCACCCGGAGATCACACCGGAGCTGTAGACACTTACGGTCAGACACACATAAGGTCAAAAACTCACTTCTGCCCATGTTTTCTTCTCCCTCATTTTTTTTTTTACAAAGGAAGGTGAGAATACGGTCTCAAGCCTGCTATGTGTCTACACTTAAGCTTCCCCACCCAACTCATAAAATACACACCCACTTCTATCCTTGTTTTTCTAAGGATAAAGATGACTGGCGTCTATGGAGAACAGCAGAGAAGCATCTATGTGGGAGGTGAGCTCTTGGTCACCCTGCTCTGACTGAAGTTGGGTGCTGTGGCTGCTCAGGGCGCAGGTCAGGGACGAACCTGGAGCTACACTGTCAGGAGTGGAGACAGCCGGAGCAGAGGACGGTGCTGGCAGCGCAGGCATCATGACAATGGTAGCCTGGGACACAGACTCTCCAGGGGGAGGCCCGAGTTTAACTGGAGGCTCACTGGCAACAGCAGTGAAGGAGGGAAGAGGAGTGCTGAACTGTGTAGGGCCAGCTTCTAAAAGCCGGGAAAGAGTGGGAGCACCTGACAGGCAAAGAGGGACACAAAATGAGGAAAGAAAGCACGTGAACAAGAAGCAACAGCCATTCTAGGACTCACAGTTTCAAAGGATGAAAGTAACTCCTGGTTGAATAAACTCATAACCACACCCTACCTTCATTAGCTTCACTTTTCTCCAAGCTAGGAATGAACCCAAGTGCCAGACTATACACTGTATACATTAAAAATGAGGAGTCATTTTCTCTGAGGAAAAATGAGCAGTCACCAACAATAAAATAAAATGACTGGTATGACAGGCAAGAGGCTGAGGAAGAAAAGAGAGTTCCAGGGCTACAAAGCAAAAATCCCAGGACAGCCTGAGCTGTCTTGAAAACAAAAAAAGGAAGAAAAAGAAAATGGAGAAGAAACCTTGCCACTTCTGCTGAAGTTCGGCACACTGTATACCACCCAAACTCAACTTTAATCAAATGTCACTTGTTTTCTTTTAGGGGTGTTTATTTTGGGTCTTTGAGACAGAGTTTCTCTGTGTAGCTTTGGCTGTCCTGGAACTCACTCTGTAGACCAGGCTGGCCTCGAACTCACAGAGATCCACCTGCCTCTGCCTCCCAAGTGCTGGGATTAAAGGTATATGCCACCATACTCTGCCCAATCTCTAATGTTTATATGGTACTAGTATTCTTGCTTCATATTTTCTGTTATTTAATCCTTAACACATCCCTGAAGTATATATGTCACCATTATAAAACAGGAAACCAAGTCTCAATAGTTAAGCTGCCTGTCTAATGTCACAAAACCAACAGTATGGTGGATCTGAGATTCAAACCAGGTCTCTAGTTCCCAATCCCTTTCCCCTACTTTATAATCTCCAAGGTCTCTAACTTTTCACAATGTTGCAAAAACTAATATTTGCCACCATTAATAAAATAGAAAACTAAGTTTCAATAGTTGTCTATTCAAGGTCACAAAATCAATAGTATGAGCGACGGGAGATTCAAGCCCAGATCTCTGGTTCTATATCTCTTTCCTCTATTTCACCTCAGGGATCTCAGGAATCTTGACATTTTGCAAGGCACAGAGAAATAGCTTCATTATTAACTTTACTGTTCCTTTTTATTATCACCTATACTGAAGTCAATTAGAGCTATCAATATTTTATTTTGGAACAGATCAATATCTCAAACACTATGTTGTTTAATACAAAAACTAGCTCCAAAGCAAAGTCTAAAAACTGTAATTGGGCCTTAACTATATGGTAACTATTCTCTCTATGATGGCCATGAAAAGCATGCGCAGTAGCTTACCTGAGGCAGCAGGGGAGGCTGCAACAGTACTGGTTGTTGGCTGCATCTCCCCACCATGTATCATGGGAAGAACCCCGCCTACCTCCAGGAGCACACCTGTGCTGTTCAGATGGCCAGAAGCCACAGACATCTCACTCTCATTGACCTACCAGGGAAGAACAGAGGTGAAGGCTATACTCAAGCTCTTCCACTACCACTTCCCAAAAACAAAAACAAAAATGCGCTCCAGTGCTCAAACAAACTTCTTCAAACCAAAACTCAGTGTCCACAAAAACCATTCAAGATAGAAGGGAAACTCTAAACTATAATGTTCAGAACTTAAGTGACAAGAGTTCTCTGGGGGAAGAAAACCACCAATCATTATCATTCAGATACCTTAGGATCCAAGGACCAACTAAGCGCATTTTTTAGGAGTTAACCTTTAACTAGGACATTGCTGGGTTTTTTTTTTGTTTGTTTGTTTTGCTTGTGTTTTTGTTTTTCCCCAGGTCATATTTTAGGGCCCAGGCATTCCCTTCCAAGTACTAAATCACCACAGCTCTCAAACACCCACAGAAGTCTCCATACCAGTCTGGGGCTAGTAGGCAGGAGGCTGCCCTTCTTCAAGAGCTCTGACAGCAGAGGGGAGGGGGGTGGAGTTGCTTTCTGTCCAAGCATCTTTTTCTGGGGTGAATCATCTGTTACTGGGGTCATGGGGGCTTCTAAGGGTGCAGAGCCTGGAGGAAGGGTGTCAGGAATCCCAGGAAACGAGGTGACTGGGGTACTCGGCAAAGTCCCAGGGGTTACCTAAGAGACAACAGAGAACCTTTATCTGACTTCTCAAACTACGGAAGGTTCCCTACTAATCTGGATGGGTTAGTGTGTCTATTATTTTATTAGTTCTGAATGGAAACACCCAGAAACCGTCTATACTTCTTTCTCTTCCACTCACTGTACCCACAACCCAATCATTCCATCCAACCTCCTTATTTTCAAACTCCTCAAAACACTATTACTACTTTATTTATAAAGAAATGGTCTCTTTCTTAAGCAGAAATTTCATAAGACTAAATACATTTACAAATAATTCACATAGTCCTTTACCTATCTCTCAAAAAGTAAAATCCTCCATGCTTTTAGGTACACCTTTACAATCTTTAGCATTCAGATCAAGAGAAGTTGCTTCTAGGCAACAAGTGGTTTCCCATTATCAGCTCTCTGCTGGCTTATTGTTCCTTTGCAAATCAACATCAATAAATGCCAATAGACTTACCCCAGAGGTAGCCTCTTCCATAGTGGTTGGAGTCAAGTCTCCAAGTGGATAATCACCTCCTGGGGAGGCAGAATCTATAGGTGAGCGGACCATCACAGTGGGCAGCCTTCGAGGAGGTGTTTTGACTGCTTGCCGAGCTAGAACATAAGCAAACAGAGACCAAATCTTCAGGACTAAATAAGTGAAACCAGCCACTAGTATATCCTAAAGAAACATTATGAGTCTAGATTAGAAGTTTTATTACTTTCTTTAGCTTAATTTTTCAAACTAAGGGCAATTCTCACATTAAACAAAATAACTACTTAACTATTTCAAAGGTCCTTGTTGTAGTAAATGGTTTACATACTTCTCAATGTCTTCTCCAGCAACTTAAGAGTCTGCTTTTAAAAAGAGGAAAAGACCTCACTGGTTCACACCGTGTAGTCTATCTTACAGTTACAAACACTGAATTTTCTCCCCACCACCCCATCTCATCTCCCAAGGCTCACTGGGATGAATTTTTGATCCCACCTTCCTGGATCCACTTCCCAAATTCTGGAATTATAGGCATTCACCACTATATCTGGCTTTCCTTCCCCACGCCCCCTCTTTTGGAGACAGGGTCTCACAATGTAGCACTAGCTAGCCTGGAACCCACTCTGTAAGGTGGACTGGCTTGCAGAGATCTGCCTGCCCCAGCCTCCCAAATGCTGGATTAAAGACATACACCACCACACCCAGCTCCATATTTGGCTTTTTTTTATTGGCCTCTGAGTTCTAAAACCTTAATTAAGGCCAATGAGATGGTTCAGTGGGTAAAAGCTCATGCTACCAAGACTGAGTTCAATTTCTGGGACCCACATAGTGGGAGAAGAGAATGGACTTCCACAACTTGTCCTCTGATTTGTACATACATGGCACTCACCTGTGCCCCCCCACCAACAAACCAATAAAAATAAAAAAATAAAAAATAACAACATAAAACCCATACTATGTTCAGCATATCAAGCTTATGAGTCCTACAAGTAAACTGGAGATCTAGACTATAAAGAGACCTCATTTTCTAAGTCTTCCTTCTCGGAGACTAATGGATGATTTATTCTGGTAAAAAAAAAGATAACAGGAACTATTCTTTTCTTTTTAGTTGTTTGTTGGTGCTACAGACTAAGCCTCATCCACGCAAGGTCAGTGTTTTAGGACTGGCTCCATCCTTCACTCAGATGCCTTGTTTTATGAGGCTTCTGTGCACACGCTAACAGTAAATCTCTACATTTCTCCTCTTTACTGCCAGTTTGCTCCACAAATTCAAAAATACTGGAACTTTAGAGAGTGAGGGAAAGTTGTTTTTTTTTTAATTATTTATTTCTTTATTTTATGTGCATGTGGTGTGAAGGTGTCAGAGCCTCTGGAAGTAGATTTACAGACAGTTGTGAGTTGCCACATGGGTGCTGGGAATTGAACCCAGGTCACCTGGAAGAACAGTCAGTGCTCTTAACCGCTGAGCCATCTCTCCAGCCCCGAGTGAGGGAAAGTTTTAACTGCCCTACAATTCGGGCAGATCAGTCAGGAGCCTAAAACATTTTGCTTATTTGGAGTCTACAACTGGGCAATCATGGGACAAGACAAAACCAGTTATTGGAAACATGAAGGATGAAAGAACTTAACAGGTGTAGGTTTCTGGTAATTTCCAAAGCCAACCAGTACAGTAGAATTCCTTTTGATAAAAGCCTGTTTACTTAATGTCACCTGGAGGTCTAACTTTAGGGGGCATGTATAAGGCCCTCAGGTCAATCCCTAGCAGAGAAAACAAAAAAAGGATGTTTTGGGAGGAAAAAAGAGACATGATAAATTTTGCAAGCACATTGAAACTGGCAGACGATATATTATAAAACAGTGAACAGCTACGTTTCCACAGTGGAGCGGTCACCACACTCATCTCACAGGCCAGCCAGCCAACTGTCACCAGTGTACAGCACTGCATGACCCAGGACAGCAGAGGCACCAGGCGGGGCTTACCCTGGTAGGCAGCATCTGTAGCCTTCCTTTTCACTTCAGCCTCTTCCTCCTCCAATTTCTTTTTCCTAAAGAAGGAACTGAGTTATGTTAGCAGGCTCTAGCTCTTCCCCATGGTTCACACTGCCTTCACAAAAACGCTTTTGGCCAACTGGCACAGAGCACAGATGGAACCTACATTGCAATGTCATTGCAAAGCTCATCCAGCCTGCTGTCCATGTGTCCGGCTTGAATTAGTTCTGCATCTCTTTTTAGCCGCCTATAAAAAAGAAAGAGACAGACTGCAGTTCTCTTTATGATTTTTTTTTTTTTCAGTTTGTAAGCTTCTTTTTTTTCTTTTCTTTCTTTCCTTTTTTTTTTTTTTTTTTTTGAGACAGGGTCTCCTTCTGTAGCCCAGGCTGGCCTCAAACTTATAGAAATTTTCCTGCCTTGGTCTCCTGAGGTAAGCATTGGGATTACAAGCATAAGCTACCATACTGTTTTTTTTTTTCCAAAGATTTATTTATTCATTATGTATACATACAGTGATCTGCCTGCATGTATGTCTGCAGGCCAGAAGAGGGCATCAGATCTAACTACAGATGGTTGTGAGCCACCATGTGGTTGCTGGGAATTGAACTCAGGACCTCTGGAAGAACAGCCAGTGCTCTTAACCTCTGAGCCATCTCTCCAGCCCCCATATTGCTTTTTTAAAAACTAACTAGAGAGAGAGAGAGAGAGAGAGAGAGAGAGAGAGAGAGAGAGAGAGAGAGAGTGTGTGTGTGTGTGTGTGTGTGTACGTACACAAGTACTGGTGGACACATTCTACAGCACATGAGGTCAAGGGGAAAATGTGGAGGACTGGCTCTCTCCTTCCACCTTGACTCAAGCAGGGTCCCTTTCATTTCTGCCCCTGGTTTGCCTAATCACCATCTACTATAAACTACCACATCAGAGCTTTTTACATGAGTTCAGGGGCTCAAACCCAGGCTGTCAGGATTGTACAGTAGGCGCTTTTATCTACTGAACAATCTCCATGCCTCTTGTCTTGTTTTTAAGCAAAAACCTTTCTAAGTGGTCCAGGCTGGCCTGAACTTGTGGTCTCAAGTGAGCTTTCCATTTCAACCTCCTGAATTCAACACAACACCAAGCCTTAATTATGTTTCTTCCCCCCCCACCCCCCCACAAAGTTTCTCTGTGTAGCTCTGGCTGTCCGGAAACTCACTTTGTAGACTAGGCTGGGCTCGAACTAACAGAGATCGCCTCCTCTGCCTCCCAAGGACTGGGATTAGAGGCATGCGCCACTGCTGCCTGGCTTAATTAAATTTCCTAAGCTGCTATTTTGAAAACTTTTATTGGAGCTGGAGAGATGGCTCAGAGGTTAAGATCACTAGCTGCTCTTCCAGAGGACCTGGGTTCAATTCCCAGCACTCACATGACAGTTCACAACTGTCTGTAATTCCAGTTCAAGGGGATCTGGCATGCTCACGCAGACATACATGCAGGTAAAACCACAATGCAGATTAAAAAAAAAAAAACTTAAAGAAGTCAGTTCTTGATTTCTTTCCGAACTACCCCCTCCCCAAGTCATGATAACTACCTGTATCTCTCCTGTGTTTCCTTTATCACCTTCTTTAGTTCCTCAACTCTCTCAGCAGTCAATTTCCGAACAATAACATCTTCAACAGTTTCTACCACTTCTCCTTTCTCACCCCGTTTCCGTCTGTGGAAAACCAAGCAACAATAAATCCCAGTTCCAGTAAGAGGACATTTGTATTCTTTGAGCCTTTTTTTTCTACCATTGAACCATAAGTACTATCCGCTATACTTTTCTCACCCAATTAAGATGTATTTCCATAGTGAACACTTTCCAACTAAACAGAGGTGTACCTGGGTTCATACTCACTTTGGAGTTTCAGTAGTCTCTAAGAGCTCTGAATACTGAGAAGCACAATGCTAGAGGAAAAAAAATGAAAATGTGATAAGCAAGCTTGGAAAGAAACAAGATTTCCAATTTTCAACAATTGGAATAAGACTAGTGAAGAAAGCTATTCAAGATTGTGTGGTTTAGCTGGTCATGGTAGGAGGCAGAAGCAAGGGATCTGAGTTCAAGGCTAGCCTGGTGTACATAGTGAGTTCTAGGACTGCCAAGGATACATAGTAAGATACATACACTACTACTACCACCACTAAATAAAAATCAGAGAAAAGTTTGTAATACTTTTTTGCATACATAAATAACCAGATTAGCAAACAGTGGGAAAAAGAAAAATGGTGTTTTCTTTTGTTTTCAATTTTTTTTTTTTTTTGGTTTTTTCGAGACAGGGTTTCTCTGTGTAGCTTTGCGCCTTTCCTGGAGCTCACTTGGTAGCCCAGGCTGGCCTCGAACTCACAGAGATCCGCCTGCCTCTGCCTCCCAAGTGCTGGGATTAAAGGCGTGCGCCACCACGCCCGGCCTTGTTTTCAATTTTTAAAATATTTTCAAATATTGGCCGGGCGATGGTGGCGCACGCCTTTAATCCCAGCACTCGGGAGGCAGAGCCAGGCGGATCGCTGTGAGTTCGAGGCCAGCCTGGGCTACCAAGTGAGCTTCAGGAAAGGCGCAAAGCTACACAGAGAAACCCTGTCTCGAAAAACCAAAAAAAAAAAAAAAAAAAAAAAAAAAAAAAAAAAAAAAAAAAAAATTTTTTAAAAAAAAAATTTTTTCAAATATTTTAAATTTTTTGTTTTGAGACAGGGTTTCTTTGTATACTTTGGCTATCCTGGAACTCACTCTGTAGGAACAGGTGGAACACAAACTCACAGAGATCCTCCCATCACCCAAGTGCTGGGGTTAAAGGCGTGCACCACCACCAGCCAGCTAAGTTTCTTATTTTTATTAAATTTAAAATTTTATTTTTATTAAATTTAAAATATCTAAATATTTAATTTTAAAAATATTTTTACTTAAAAATTTATTTTTTACTTATATCTCCATATATGAGCCCTCAGAGGCCAAAGAAGGTACTGAATGCCCAGAGCCTGGAGTTACAAGTATTTGCAAGACACCGGATACAGGTGCTGGGAACCAAACCCAAGCCCTCTGCAAGAGTGTTAGGTTCTCTTAACCACTGAACCGTCTTTCCATTCCCTTTACTTTTTTTTTTAATGTGTGGTGTGTCTCTGTTCATATGCTCATACACATGTGTGGGTACATATAAATGTGTGAGCACATGCATGTGGATACCCAAGATTAACTCTGGGAGTCTTACTCAATCAGTCTTTACCTTATTCTTTGCAGTAGGGTCTCTCAAAGAAACTAGATCTTGTTTCAACTGTCTCGAAAGCCAGCTTGCCCCAAGGAATTCTTACTGCCTTTGCCCTCCAAATACTGTAATAACTGGTGGGCTGCCACACCTTCTTGGCATGTAAGGAGATTTAAGTATCAAACTTCAGCCTCTGCTTCTACAGTCAATACTTGAACCACCTCCCCAGCCATGATTTTTTGGTTTTCCTGAGACAGGGTTTTGCTATGTAGCCCTGGCTGGCTTGAAACTCAGCAATTAAACCAGGCTGGTCTCACACATGTTGATATACTCTTGCCTATCTCCCAACTGCTAAAATTACAGGCATGTACCACGACACCCAGCCTCTAACACTGTTAGTTATTGCCTGCTTCATGAAAGGCAGAGCACAGTAAATAACAAATTTCATCTTCCAACGAGTGTAAACGAGCATCTGATTGGTAACTTACTTTTTGAGAAAACCAGTCTGGAGGCCGGCCAGGTTCTGCAAAAGGCTTGATTGCTCTGCTAACCGATACCCTACAGAATAAGAAAAACCTTATTATATACCAAACAGGAAAAATACGGGTGGCAGAGGTACGCTGAATTCAAAGTTTAGGGTTTATAGATCACATTAGAATAAAGAATTGCCACAGAACTATTTTAGAATACCTTCCCTTTATCATTTACTATTTGCTTTTCAGTGCTGAGAATGAAACAGAGGTTCACTCACACTCATCACCTAAGTGCTCCAGAGTTAATAGCTCTAGGTCTGGAATACCTGACAATGGAAAATGACACAACTATGTAAAAAGCAATTCAGGGGTTCTTGAAATAGCCCAATGGGTAAAGGCACTTGCTGGCAAGGCTGATGATCTGAACTCCATTCCCAAAATCTACAGAGTAGAAGAAGAAATATCAGCTTTACAATTTGTTCTCTGACCTCCACATCATGCACAGTGGCATTCACACACCTACATACACATACATGCACAATAAATTAAAATGCAATACAAAGTCTTTAAATGTATCCAGAGTCTCACATATGTAGGCAAATACTATATAACCAGCCTATATCCCTAGCCTGGATTAACTCTGTTTTTTTTTTTTTTAAAAGATTTATTTATTTTATGTATATGAGTGCTCTATCAACTTTATGCCAGAAACGGGCATCAGATCCCATTATAGATGGCTGTGAGCCACCATGTAGTTGCTGGGAATTGAACTCAGGACCTCTGGAAGAGCAGCCAGTGCTCATAAACACTGAGCCATCTCTCCAGCCCACTTAGATTCTTAAAATCAGCTCTGTGGCCACTCTCCCCTGACCAGTGCCCATATTTGGAATACCTTCCTTTTGACTCTTTGGAGAAGCCCACACCTCTGCTCTCACTTCCCTTCTGAGCCACTTTCTCTCCTAACCCTCATTATGAAACCATATTTATTTATTTATTTATTTATTTTTTTTTTAAGATTTATTTATTTATTATGTATACAGAAGAGGGCGCCAGATCTCATTACAGATGGTTGTGAGCCACCATGTGGTTGCTGGGAATTGAACTCAGGACCTCTGGAAGAGCAGTCAGTGCTCTTAACCTCTGAGCCATCTCTCCAGCCCCATGAAACCATATTTAAATACCTTTATTAACACTTAACTGTTTTCTAAAACCTGCTCTTAAAAGCTCACAACTTTTTTTTTTTTTAAAGATTTTTTTAAACTTTATTTTTTGTGCATTGGTGTGAAGATGTCAGATCCCCTGGAAATGGAATTACAGACAGTTGTGAGCCGCCATGTGGGTGCTGGGAATTGAACCCGGGTCCTCTGGAAGAGCAGCCAGTGCTCTTAACCGATGGGCCATCTCTCCAGCCCCAAAAGCTCACAACTTTTTGTTTGATTTTTGAAGACTGGGATTCTCTGTGAAATAGCCCTGGCTGTCCTAGAACTTGCTTTGTAGACCACACTAGCCTCAAACCCAGAGATCCACTTGCCTCAGAATTTTGAGTGCTGGGATTAAAAGCATACACCAGCCATTTAAACTTTATGAAGTATTTTTCACAGTATACAATGTATGCTTATAATTCTAACAAATAGGAGGAGGCTGAGACAGGAGGGCTATCACAAATTTGAGGCTAGCCTGAGCTACATAATGAGTATCAGTCCAGCCAGAACTAAATAACAAGACCTTGTTGTTGCCCCCACCCCACCCTTCCCCCAAAGCAGCTGGGTATTGGTCTACATGGCTGACCAGGCAGCCAGGGCTACAAAGGGAAAGCCCATGCCAAAATAAACCAAAGCAAACCTCTCCTATGAGCATCTCTGATCAATCGGGCCCTGTAAATATGCTAAACCTTTCATTATCTTCCTGACAGAGGAAAAACTAAACACTAGACCATACCTGTAATCAAAGTAGCAACATCAACAAAGGCAAGTTATAGTCACTGAATTAAAAGACAGGAGCCAATCTATGTACAACTTTCTGTAATTAAAATATTATCTAGCTGAGCTCAGAGGTAGTGGTGCATTCCTTTAATCCCAGCACTGAAGAAGCAGAGGTAGGCAGATGGATCTCTGTGAGTTTGAGGCCAGCCTGGTCTACAGAGTTCTAAGACAGTCAGGGCTATTGCGCGCACACACACACACACACACACACACACAATCTTGAGGACAAAATCAGATGATCTGGAGCTATATGGAGATTTAGAGGCTAACAACAAAAACAAATCTTTATAACCAACTAAAGACATTTCAGTAAGACTTCCAAAAGCACCAGGCAAGCATATGGTACACATGCATGCAGGCAAGCAAAACACAGATACACACAAAATAATGGTAATAAAAAAATTTAATAGTAAAGGCCAACAAACAAACAAAAAAGCAAAATAAGTATTTTCACAGCCGATTCTCAAGCAAAGCAACAGAAGAAACTAAACTGGTATCATTAGAATTAAAGACTTTTGGCTGAGCCTGGTGACTCACACCTTTAATCCTATTACCAGAGAGGCAGAGGCAGGCACATTTTAGTGAGGTCAAGGCCAGCCTGGTCAATATAGTGAGATCCAGACAGCCAGGGCTATATAGAAAGGAACTGCCTTGGAAAATTTTTCCCAAAACTTTTGTGTTGTAAACAATACCAATCAAAACAGTGTAAAGACAGTTGGAGACATAGTTCAGCAGTTAAGATCATTGGCTACTCTTCCAGAGGACCTTGGTTCAATCCCCAGCACCTACTTGGGTGGCTCAAAACCATCTGTTACTCCAGTTCTGGGAATCTCACATCCTTTTCTAGCATACACATATGTTAGATATATACAAACAGGCAAAACTCATACACATGAAAAATAAATGATTACAAATTGTTTCTTATAAAAGTGTAAAGACAATATGCGAAGTAGGAGAAATAGTTGCAAACTGTCAAAGGATTAGCCTCCAGATTAGAGCTATAGAATTATAATGCAAAGAATTATAATGCAATTACAGAAAGAAATCAACTAAACAAAAATGGACAAAAAACTGAGCATAAATTTCCCCACAAATATATAATGCCTATATAACCACATGCAAATATACTCATTAATGCACAGTTCATCAGAGAGATACCTATCAAAACCACAATAAGGAACTAGATATGGTGGCTCAAACTTGAAATTCCAGGCTAGAAGGCTGAAAAAGGGAATCACTGAGATCTCTAGGCCAGCCTGGACTACATATACAGAACCTTTCTTTAAAAAAAAAAAAATAATGGGTATGGGCGTGACTCCCAGCACTCAGGAGGCCGAGGCAGGAGGATCTCTGTGAGTTCGAGGCCAGCCTGATCTAAAAGAGTTCCAGGACAGTCAGCCAGGGCTTTACAGAGAAACCTTGTCTAAAAAAAAAAAAAAAAAAAAAAAGTGGAATGTGTTGGCTCCGTTCATTTACAGCTCATACTGGTAAAGACACTTGTTACCAAACCTGATGATCTGAGTTTGATCCCCAGAATCCACAAGGTGGAATAAAAGAAACAAATCCTGCAAGCTATCTTCTGATCTCCACACCTATATACACATGCACGCATACAAACACACAAATAAATATAAAAAAATCCATAATAAGATATGGCTTTATATTTACTAGTATGGTTACAAGAAAGGACAGGAAATATTGTGAAGCAGATAAAAACTGAAGGTGATGGGGATACAGCTCAGCCGGTAGAGTGTTGGCCTAGCATTCATGAGCCCTTGATTTGATCCGTACCACAAAAGCTGGGCCTCATAGTATATGCCTGTAATCAGCACTGGGGGGTGGGGTTGGGGTGAGCAGAGGCAGGATCAGGCTGCATAGGGAGGCACCTGAAGTTAGCTTAGCTCAAAAAATAAATAATAAGGCTTGAATAAGGTTGAGATGACACAAGCCAGTAGAACATGCTGGAGAAGGAGCAGAAGGCCCGGGCTATACTTTTTTACTGGGCATGGCAGCACATTCCTTTAATCCTAGCACTCAGAAGCCAGAAGCAAGAGGATCTCTGAATTTGAGGCTAGCCTGGTCTACAGAGTGTGAATCTGTCTTTAAAATAAAAAAAAAAAGTTTGATGGCCGAAGGTGAAGATGGCAGACAGCATGCACAAGGCCCCGAATTCCATCCCCAACACCTCTATTCTCCAAAATTTGTGGCGGGTGATGAAGAGATGGCTCTTAGCACCCCAATTCTGTTGTAGGAACCTATGTCAGATGTCTCACAACTGCCCGGAACTCTAACACTCCAGGGGATCTGACGTCCTCTTCTGTCCGTCTCTCAAGGGATCCTACGCTCATGTGCCCATATCCCCACTCCAATACACACAATAAACCTACATAATTTTTAAAATAATATATTAAAGAAAATGATTTGGCAGTTCCTCAAAAAAAGTTAGACCTGGAGTTACCATATGACCCAGAGACTCTACTACTTGGGTGGAAACTCAGGAGAACTGAAGACACCATCCACAAGGACCTTATTCACATCTATCCCAAGGTGGAAACCCAGTATCAGGAAATGAATATGCAGCTGTCTGTCCATAGCCAAGGGATGTGCATTCTTGGAATTACTCAGCCTACACTGGACATTATAGTCACTTCTAAAAACAAATAAAAAAAATGTGTCTGGGCCGGGCGGTGGTGGCGCACACCTTTAATCCCAGCACTTGGGAGGCAGAGCCAGGCGGATCTCTGTGAGTTTGAGGCCAGCCTGGGCTACCAAGTGAGTTCCAGGAAAGGCACAAAGCTACACAGAGAAACCCTGTCTCGAAAAACAAAAAAAACAAAACAAAAAAAAAAAGTGTCTGTACTGAACATGTACAGACTTTATTCCCTAAATCAATGGCTCTCAAGCTTCCTAATGCTGAGACCCTTTAAAACAGTTCCTCTCAGGCTGTGGTGACTACTACAATGTTGCTACTGTTATGAACCATTATGTAAATATTTTTAGAAATACAAGTTTGCCAATGGTCATAACCTACTGGTTAAGAACCTCTGCCCTAAACCATTAACATGCAATTTCACTGTATTAGAGATAAATTGGAGTATTCAAAAGGATATGTGTTGGTGACATGCAAATATGAGGCATCTTATGTAAAGGAATTGAGCCATCACCATTTTTATAACCTCAAATGTCCTAGAACCAATTCTCCATGGATATGGAAAGGATGATTCATACTATTATCTGGCCAATACTAGAAGAAAAGTATTAACATACGTTACATGTGAATAAACCTTGAAAGTGCTATGTTAACTGACTAAAATAAAATTAAAAGTTCTAAAATTAGATTGCAGGGATTGCTGCACAACTTTGTGGAAATAGAAAAAAGAAACTGTCAAAGTTTTCACTTTCAGGGGGCTTATTTGATGCTATGTGATTTGTACTTTGGTAAAGCTGACTACTATATAAAGCTAGCTTGATGGTCCACGCCTTTAATTCCAGCACTAGAAAAGCAGAGGCAAGCAGTCTCTGAGTTCAGGCCAACCTGGTCTACAGTGTGAGTTCTAAGATAGCCAGGGCAACACAAAGAAACCCTGTCTCTAAAACAAAACAAAAAGAAAGACAGACAGACAGAAAGAAAGAAAAAAAGAAAGAAAGAAAGAAAGAGAGAGAGAGAGAGAGAGAGAGAGAGAAAGAAAGAAAGAAAGAAAGAAAGAAAGAAAGAAAGAAAGAAAGAAAGAAAAATAGTCATACACACCAAGAAGTCAGACATATTAGATTCCTTACCAGTTCTGATCTCCACTCCTCATAACAGAAGATGCTAAACACAACTTCTCTCGGATGGACCATGGCTCTGTTGGGCCGGTACTCAGCAGCTTGTGCTCTGGGAATAAAAAAGGCTTAGAAACGATCACTGAGCTAGTTCTAAGTCCCAGAACAGCTAAAAGTCTGATATAAAATAATATCCCAGGCTGAGTGTGGAGTATTAACCCCGGTTCTCAGGAAACAATCGAGCAGACTTCTGTGAGTGTGAGGCTTGCCTGGTCTGCATAGCGAGTTTCAGGCCAGCCAGGGTCAGTCACACAGTAAAACCCTATCTCAAAACAAATAAATCTCAATCTTGTTCAAACAATGTGAACTACTACCATTAATTATTTATTATCACCACATCTTGATTGTTCACCATTCCAACGAAATCTCACTACTAGCCAGCATAAACTGTTTTCTGAATACTCATTTATAGAACACTTTATTTGTTCAAATGCCATGGCTTTAAGTTCCGCTCTCAAACATTGGCAGTATTACGTTTAAAAAAAAAAAAAAAAAGTTCTTCGTAAAGACCCAGTTTTATAACTTTATTCCAATTTGAACGCAAGCTTATTTCCCAGGATTCCCAGCGGCCACCGGCTCCCACTGCCCACCTCCTTCTTTGCATAAAGTTGTTTACATCGCACCCCCCCCCCCCAACTGTCGGGTACCAGACAGTTCGTCGGTGAAACAGAAAGAATGGCCGAGAGTCAGGGAACGCGTTTCCCCCGGTGGCAGGAAACGCCCACCGTTAACAGAGCTCGTCCCGACTGCTCGCCACAGCCTGGTTCGAAAAACGACTGAGCCGCGGGCCACTCGCTGCTGCCTTTGTTTACCCGAGGTATCTGCGCCCGGCACACAAAGGCGGCCACGGCTGCGTCTCTGCAGCCTCGGTTCCACCCCTCCCCTGGCCAAACCCCAGGCAGCCGCCCTGAGAGCCCCCCACGGAGGGCGGCGGTCTGGAGACCTGGCGCTCTCGACAACCCATGCACTGCGACCATGCACGACGGGAACGGGATGCCCGGCCTCGAGTCTCTGCACGGGCCTCGAACGCAAAAGCGGCTCCGATACTCACTGCCTGTCCCGGTCGCCATGTTGGCCTCGACGTCTTCAACGCAAGCGAAGGGTGCGGGGAACTCTGGGAAATACGGTACCAGCGTCTGTTCGCGGTGCCTCCTGGGTAATGGGGGTGGGTCCGCCTTAGGGAATTTATTTATTTTTTTTTTTAACTAACAAAGGACAGGGGTAGCCGCCGAAGCCTCAGGGAAGAAACGTCTAGATCTAGAGAGAAAGAGTTAAAGGAGACGAAGCCCACAGCCAACCGCTAAGGAAGTCCCGACAGTTGGTAACCCGGACCCACATTAGAAGCGAAGAGGTCAGCCAGAAGCAAACGGACTCCCGGCGGGCCCCGCCCCCTTGCCCTCCGCGGATTGGTGGCTTCAGACCTCGCTTTCTGATTGGCCGGACGGGCTCAGCGCGCAATTTAAAACATTGTCCGGGGAACAAAGCTGCGCCTCGTGGGCGGAGTTGTGCCCTCCGGTAGCGGGGAGTCCGGGTTCTGCGGCCGGGTGGGAGCTGGGACCGGAGAAGCAGCGAGGCAGGCCGTCTTCCGGTAAGTGCGATTGGGCCGGAGCCCCGTTTACCCGCTCTTGCCGGCGTGGCATAGTCCGCAGGACGCCCCCCTACCCACCCACGTCTTCCGTAATCCCCGAGTTCTCTCCGTGGTCTTCGGAGCGAGGTTGGAAAAGTTCCCTAGGAATCCGAAACACACCTGCACCGGTGGGCCTCTAGACAGCCTCTGTGGAGCGCTTTTAGAGCTAGATTATCTCTCGGTGCCTGTTCGCCTCCAGAAATGCAGCCTCGGGCTGGCTTATTCTTCTCATTCTCTTCCCCTTGGCTGATAATAGTATAGAGTCGGTATGTCCTGAGCAAGGTCATCCCCCTCACCAGGGGATTGTTTATTAACCTACAGGTTTGCAGTTTCTGTGCGTTAGTGGCCTTCTGTCCATCTACTCTTCATTTTTTGTTTGTTTTTAGACGTTGGCTGACTCTCCTTGCCATGTCTCACGAGATCCTTTCTCCGCCAGCGGGCTTACTGTCCGATGAGGATGTTGTAGTCTCCCCCATGTTTGAATCAACAGTTGCAGATCTGAGGTCTGTGATCCGAAAGGACCTTTTGTCAGACTGCTCTGTCATCACCTCCTCTCTGGAGGACAAACAGGTAATGGAGTTGACTGGTTCTGGGGCAGAAAGTGATATCCTCAGCTTAATGGTTCTTTATGCAAGGTAGTATGAAAGCTGGGCGGTGGTGGCGCACGCCTTTAATCCCGACATGCGGGGGCAGAGGCAGGAGGATCTCTGAGTAGAGGCCAAAGCTGGGCCTTATGGCACACGCCTTTAATCACCTAAGGCAGGTGGATCTCTGAGGCCAGCCTGGTCTACATAATGAGTTAGTGCCAGAACAGCCAGAACTACACAGACCTTGTCTCGAAAAACCAAAACAAAAAGGGCAAAAAGAGTTTATACCCATAAGAATATTATTGGCATTATATTCATGTTAAATACAAGGATGGAGGGTGTGAGAGTGCATGTTTGGTATGTCCTGGGTTCAAGTCTCAGCACCACATGTAACTGTTTGCACAGAACCATGGTGGCCTTAACTAGGTAGAATGGAATTCATGTTTCAATAGTCATAGCTGCCATTGCTTCAGCCTTTCTTTTGTAAGGCCAAAGATATTTCATTATAGCACTGTTCATGTTTGGGGCCAAGCCTTTGTTGGAGGGGGCTGCCCTATGCTTCACAAGATGTTTAGTAGCATTTCTGGCCTCTATCCACTAGACACAATACCTTTTCACTAATTAGAATTCAGTGTCCCTGGGAATACAGAGACAGTCTAAATATCTGCTGAATAAATGGAGTGACTGCTATTTAACTTCATTCTTCAGGTGAGTCACTAAGAACTTTGTTCATGGTCTCCCAATTACTAAATGATGAAATTGGGGCTCAGATTCAGGCATGTCTATTCTTATTTGTTAGTGTTGTATGTATGTATATGTGGTGGGGATACACACATGTGGAAGCCAGGACAACTTTGTAGAGTCAGTTCTCTTCCTTTTTTTTTTTTTTTTTTGTCTGAGACAGGGTTTCTCTGTGTAGCCTTGGCTGTCTCTTCCATTATTATATGGAGTCCTGTGACTGAACTCAAGTTGGCAGGCTTGTTTAGCAAGCTGAGCCATCTTGCTAACCCAGTTTTCATTATTGAGCTTTGAAAAAAAAAATGTTTATCAGAGCTGGAGAGATGGCTCAGGGTTAAGAACCCTTCCTACACTTCCAAAGGACCCAAGTTAAAGAAACAAAAATTATTTATTTTGAAGTAGTCTTTGTAGTCAAGACTGGCTTTAAGTTTCTGATTCCCCATCTCTTTTTACTTCTGGGTGTTGCAATTACACACAACCATGCCTGGTGCATATTGGTTTTCAAACATCAACCGATTCTAACTCAGATCACTGATAGAGCAAGCCAGATTTTCAGGACAGTGATGAGACAGGAGGGTAACAAAGTTCACGTGAGCAAGAATGATTGTGGAGCCAAAGAATAGTTGCACAGGCCACTTAAGGTGGAATGAGGGGTTGATAACATGCTTTCTAGGAACTGGGATGTTTGCCCATTTGCTTAACTCTGTGTCCTGGCTGGAATTGTTACAGGCTCCATTTGAGGACACTGCAGAAAAAGTGAAAGTTTACCTTCGAATCAGACCCTTCTTAACTTCTGAGTTGGACCGACAGGAAGACCAGGTGAGGATTTAAGGTGGACCGGTGTAGTACAAAAGAGGCTCCCTAGGAATGCTTCTTTACCATGCTGATCTCACTTTCTACCTTCTCAGGGCTGTGTCCGTATTGAGACTACAGAAACCCTTATGCTGCAAGCACCCAAAGACTCCTTTGCCTTGAAGAGCAACGAGAGGGGAATTGGTCAGGCCACCCACAAATTCACCTTTTCCCAGGTACACAATACTGGGGTATGAACATAGACCCAACACTTAGGGGAAAGTGTATTTCTTTGTTAAAAGAGTTCTGCCTGAGTGTGAGTTCTTTATGTGCATTCCCTGCCACTGACTGATGCTATAATTACCAGTAGCTCTTTTCCCTGGTAAGAATACTGTGGCTCATATCACAGTGAAGGTAATCTTCTGAAGCCCGAGCGCTAGTGAGTGGGAAGACAGTATTGGGATCTAGAGCCATCCGTCTCCAAACCCATGCGTCACAATAGCACTCCTTAAGTATTTAATTTGGAAGAAAGGGACTAGCGGAGAGTGGCTGAATCTTCTGCGTTTAGAAACAGCTGGAATCCAGCAGGAAAACCTGCTTGAGTGGTCCCCAGAGAAGAAATACACCTACTAGTCCTACAGAGGAAACATGTGGCAGATGACGTGTGGCCTCTGACAGACAGGTCTGTTTCTAGATATTTGGGCCAGAAGTGGGACAAGCGTCCTTCTTCAACCTGACGGTGAAGGAGATGGTAAAGGATGTACTCAAAGGGCAGAACTGGCTCATATACACATATGGAGTCACCAACTCGGGGAAAACCTACACAATTCAAGGTTAGTAAGCTTCAGCAGGGTTGCTAACCAGCATCTAATGGTTGTCTTTACCTTTTGATGCCCTGAGTGAAAGTTATTATCTCGGATATTCTTCTAGGTACTTCTAAGGACGGGGGGATCCTGCCCCGGTCTCTGGCTCTCATCTTTAATAGTCTCCAAGGCCAACTTCATCCAACACCTGATCTGAAGCCCTTGCTCTCCAATGAGGTGATCTGGCTAGACAGCAAGCAGATTCGCCATGAGGAAATGAAGAAGCTGTCCTTGCTAACTGGAGGTCTCCAAGAGGTGAAGTACTCATGAAGCTGGGATAAGGGTACAGATTTCAGGAAAGATTTGTGCTTATCTTCTCTCCATGCCCCTGCAGGAGGAGCTGTCCACCTCCTTGAAGAAACGTGTCCCTCTAGACAGTCGGATAGGCGCCAGCACCAGCTCTGACAGTGGCATTGCTGGGCTCTCCTCCACCAGCCAGCTCACCAGCAGCAGCCAGCTGGATGGTACGTACCATGAGTGGGCTCTGTGCTGGGCAATAGTGGGGTCCCACTCCCTATACCTGGCAGCTCTAAGGGGTATAGGGCAGAGATGGCAACCTGAACCCCATCGTTTGAAGTTCCTATAGACCAAGGCAAGATGAAATGCTCCATGGTTAATGACCTACACATGGATTTTTCTCACAGAAACAAGTACTTCATGGGCACAGCCAGATACTGCCCCAGTAAGTGTGCCAGCAGACATCCGCTTCTCTGTCTGGGTCTCCTTCTTTGAGATCTACAATGAACTGCTTTATGACCTGTTAGAACCACCTAGCCATCAGCATAAGAGACAGACGCTGCGGCTGTGCGAGGATCAAAACGGCAATCCTTATGTGAAAGGTGCGCAAAGGTGGTCGAGGGCGTTGGGGGAGACCTGGAGGGACGTGTAGGGAAACTAGAAAGTGCTAAGTGTCCCCACCTTTCCTTCTTGCCCCCAGACCTCAATTGGATTCATGTTCGAGATGTTGAGGAAGCCTGGAAGCTCTTGAGAGTGGGCCGTAAGAACCAGAGTTTTGCCAGCACCCACCTGAACCAGAACTCTAGTCGCAGGTGAGTTGTGAGAATGAACTCTTCCCTGTGCCTAGGAAGCTCTAGCCCTCCACCTGATAGAACACGGAAGACGTTATAGTGACTCTTCTCCTTTCCTTTTCAGTCACAGCATTTTCTCAATCAGAATCTTGCACCTTCAAGGAGAAGGGGATATAGTGCCCAAGATCAGTGAGTAAGTTCTCCTTCCCACTTAGAAATCTGAGCATCTTGGCCATCTGGGGTGGGGGCCAAAGGGAACTTCTCAAAGGAATTAGCGTTCTCCTTCCTTGCGTACAAAAAAATTGGTAGGCCCTCCCCTAACAGGGTTACATAATAAGGTACGAGTGCCTGACATCAGATCCTACACGTTCTTCCATGCAGACTGTCACTCTGTGACTTGGCTGGCTCAGAGCGCTGCAAAGACCAAAGGAGTGGGGAACGGCTAAAGGAGGCAGGGAACATTAACACTTCCCTGCACACCCTGGGCCGCTGCATTGCTGCCCTGCGGCAAAATCAGCAGAACAACAGGTGAGCTGGAGGCTAGGGT